GCCCACGGACCCGTGTGCACTACGGATCTTTCCCTCCCTAGGGCCCCATTTCTGCTCCTGTTAATACACTCACGCAAGCGCTACCCTCCCCATAAGTTTGTGAACAGAAGTCGCCAGTTTCCACCCACACCCAACTCCCTCCACCGCTGCCGAGGGAGCAGCACGTTATCCCGACAGCCCGCAGGATTCCCCAACGCTCCCACCTAAATGCATCCCGGCTGGCAGACGGAGCACCCAGCACTGCCCACTCCTCTCTCCTCAGCACCTCCCTCTCCTGCCTGTGTCCCGAGGCTAATCCCCCTCTCCCGACCAAACTTCACACCCCAAAAAGCTCCTGGGGACGCGGGTCTGGCGGAGAGTGGCTGCGCGCCCCCCGCCCCGCCGCTTGCCGGGGGAGCCGGGCGAGACCGAGCCGGGCGAGACCGAGCCGGACCCCAGCGCCGCGACCCGCGGAGCGCCCCGGGCACGCTCCGGCCCCACGGCCAACCCTGCCCCCCGAGTGCGCCTCCTCCTCGGCTTCTGCAGGATGGACCACGAGATGGAGAAGCTCCGGGCCGGCTCCAAAACTACAGATTCTGCATTATTATCACCATCATCCACATCAATGATTTGTTTCCAGCGCTTTGCAGCTGGCGAGCGAGGTCCCGCTGTCCCGCCGGACAGGGCATCCCCGCGCCCGCTCCCGCTGCCTGCGCGGAGTTTCTGTGGCAGCGGCGCCGAGCGAGGCGGGCGGAGGGGCGGCCGCTCCCCCTGCCCGCGCTGCCGGGGCGCTCCACAGGCGGCTGCCGCTGCCCCGCCGGGGCTGCCCCGCGCCCACCCTCGCCCCCGGGGCGCGGGCTCTGCTGGCTTACCCATGGCTGGCTGGCGCGGTGCGGGGGGCGCAGGGCAGGGGCTCGCTGTGCCGTGCCGGGCTGTGCCGGGTGAGCGGGCTGGCGGAGGGCAGCGGCCGCACTCTCGCACTGGCGGGCTCGGCTGGGCTCGCCGGCGGCGGGAGCGAGGGGCGGGAGGGGCGGGAGCGAGGGGCGGGCCCGGCCCGGCCGCGCGGGGCAGCGGGCACAGCGGGCACAGCGCCCCCCCGCGGCCGCTGCGCCGCGCGGGGTTCGCGCTCGGTTCCGCCCCGGCGTGACTTGGCCCGGCCTCGGGCTGCGGCCGGGACCCCGGGCCCGCCCGCCTGGCAAACCTCGGGAACCCGAGCCGCCGGCACCCTTGACCTTCAGAGGCACCTGCCCCTCCACGTTTCTCTGTGACCGCGGCAAGGGCGCTGTGTGCTCAAACACGGCATCATTTCATTCATTGCTGTCCGTGCCCGTGCTCAGCAATGTGATTCCTGCCTTCACGGCCCCTTCTGGAGCGCCTCACGCCGCTCTCCAGCGTCACGCAGCACTGCGGGAGCTGCCACGAGCGGCGTTCCAGCCACACCGCCGTGAGCGACCACGCTCGCAGGGACTCCGGCACTCCTTAAGCACTGCCAGGAATGTGTCTTGGCTTTGGGAAAATTCGGCGAACGGGACCCTGGAAGTAACAGAGCAGGGAGTTCGGGGGCATACGGGTGGCTTCTCCCTAAGGAGATTACCAGTAGCCCCTTCCCCATACCTAGAGATGTTGCAGGTAAAAATAACAGTGTCACACAGGAATGATCCTTCACAGACACTGAAGACAGGTATGGAAGAGAGTGGCAAAGTCAGCTTTTTAGTTTAGTTGCTTTCCTGAATTGGACTTTTACCATTAGAGCAATTTGATTGCTTCATTTGCAAACACCAGTGCTTTAGACAGAGTAAGTGCATCTACAATGACTAATATCAATCAGATTGTGCTGATTTACATTAACTGGGTGCTTGGCATGCATTTTGCTTTGTCTTTGCCACAATAATAATACACTAATTTTCTGTTATTTATGTGCAGTGTAAGGATATATTTCATTTCCTTCTATGATCATTAACACGTCAATCTATTCAATTAGGTAACAATATTTTTCAACTCAAATTGAGATCAATTGCTTAAGAACATATTAATAATGTTCAAAAGCAAAAGAGTGACAGAAATGTGAACACTGATTTTTAGGGAAATTAGTTCGTATTTCAGAAATTCAGACCCCTGCTCCCAAAATAGTCTGTGCACTCATTATTAAAGTTGGAATGTTAATGTGTGGTTTCTTTTCTATTAACAAAAAAAAATCACAGTCTACTGGGCCAAAATGATCTGAGGCTTTTGCATTGATTAATGAACATACATGTTTTTCAGTAAGATCTGTGGGCTGAACACCATGCAAGCACCATGGGATCAGGGAGTAAATACCTCTCCTCTAACAGGCAATAAGTGGATTGATGGAGTAAGCCATTTTATAAAGATAGAAAAAAGAAATCATAGCTAAGCTGATCACTAGCAAGCTGCTTCCAGACCCCACTGGGAATTAAAGTAGATGAGCTATGCACCTTTGAAAAATTAGATTGATTATGGAAATAGCGCATGACCCTTAACTAGAGTGGCACTAAATAGCACCAAAATATGGCAGGAACAATAGGCAAATGGTAAGAGCATTCCACAGTGTGCAGCACTATGTGCTAGTGAAGGTATTAGTTTCCATTTTTAAAATAAAAATTAGCTGAAATTTATATTCTTTGAAGTTGGTACAGCATACTGCTTGATTTATAATAGAATCAGCTGAAAAATATGCCTTAATTCTGACTGTACTTGCACTTAAGGGTAACTACATCACTGAAATCCATAGGATGAGTTCTTCAAGGGAAGTTGGTCAGTGCTGTCCAGGATGGGTTTACACACTTACACTGAAGTATGAGGCAGATATTCCTAAGGGAGTGCAGAAGAAGTTGTCCATATCAACACATTTGCAGTGAGAGGAGGGACTCTCTGCCATTCTCAGAAATGTTGGTCATTTTCCTCTCCAACAGGTAAAGCAAAGAACAGCTGTCCAAATATTGGTTATGGCTCCACAGTCAATGGGGATTTCCACTCACAGAGGTGCCAAGTCTCTGATAAGAAAGAAGTTGACAGAAGTTTTGGTTCCTTAAGCAAAACTACAGTGTAATATTTAATTGAGGTCAAGGAGACAGGAATACTTGAAATTTCTGTTAGGAATAGAAACTAATGGATTTAATTTCAAAACCAAGATTTCTGGAGAAATATGTATTTCCCTATTTGGGAGAGGCTTATGACTGGATTCTGGTCCATGCTCTTCCTCTTGTATCTGGCACACAATGTAGAGGACAAAGGCTGAAGCATGCAGCACTTCAGCAAGTCTCCCTGTTTGAATGGTTCCTTGGGTGATATAGCTGGTAGCTGTAAGGAAGGGATAAAGGCCTGCTGTAAATGGTGCTGGAAGTTAGACTGATCAAACAATCTCTTCTCGAGGGATTATAAAACAACTGTTACAGATTTGATCTACAAAAGAGAAAACGAAGGTTAGAATTCTGCATTAATAATGTCATTGTATATGTTGGGTACTTAAAACCTTTTCCATAGTTTAGGTGACAACCTGCAAACATCTTTCTGTATGCAGTTACCCTAATACTAACATAACGATACGAGGTGTTTCAAGAGACACCTTCACTCCCTGCAGCAATATGCTTGAATTACCTCCTAACTTATTCTGGAGCAGTATGTTCCTCTCTGGAGATATTTTTAAGGATGACATTTGATGTTCAGAAGAAGATTTAACTTCAGTCTCAAGGTTAGTCAAGAAGAGGCAAGATGGAATGTGGGGATCTCACTAGTTGTAACTGAGGGCATGGCATCGGTATGAAATAGCATATTTTACTGTATTTGACCATTTCCAGCAATTAGTGGTGAAACAGATTTCTAGATTAAGAGAAGGTTCATTGCGTATAATTATTTTTTTTGTTTTAGTTTACCAGACTCCATCTGTTTCTCCACTTCTCCACTGCAGAACATCCTAGCTCTGAAACAAATCTCTTTTTTGTGGATGAAATGGTGTGATAGCTGCTGCTACCTGTTTGTCTCTGTTTTCCACTCCCACTCTTTCCTCAAGCTATCTAACTAGACAGATTACCCTAGGTAGGAAACCTTCCCAATTAAAAACAGAATCAAAGGCAGTGTGTTTCCACTTAATATTTCAGCTTTGACTAAACGTTCTGGTGCATTAAAAACAGTGGTTTAATAAAAATATGTGCTAATGGGTTGTGTGTTTCAGTGGGTTCTCAGCTCCCACATCAGCTGTATGTGAGGCTCTATCCTAAGGCTCCCTCTGCTAACAGTGAAGCTAATGGTTAATCATGATATTCCTTCCTCTGGTTACTACATAGGCAGTGTCAGTGGCTAACGGTCATGGCCACTTTGCTGAGGATGAGAGTGAGTGTATGGGGTGCTACTCTGCTTTTGCAAAAATCCTGCTAATTTCCAAAACCTTATAAAATCAGGGACCCATAAACCAGCCTCCTTTTGAATGTTAGCATGAATGCATTTTAGCTTTAAGGAAATCAGAAGTGATAAAAACTAGTTTTAGTTGCAGTGAGTGTTCTCTGAGGCCTTTCTGTGATTCCATGTACAGTTGAGGCATACTGTGGTTTTTCTCTCCCATGTGATCTTCTGTTCACAGAGGCCATGGATGTTAAAGAGAAGTAAGGTGACAGTCGGATGCCTTTGTACACTTTGTGCACTTTCTATCTGTGTGCAAAGGAGAGGTGACCTGTGTGGTCACCTCTCAGCATCTCGAGGTAGATCAAGGGGAATGACTCATGCTCTCCTCTGTCTTTTGTACCTGTTATGTGAAGCTGATCCACTGCAGACTCCAACTGCTGCTACCAAAACCACTTTTTAGTGCTCACTGCAGAGAGTTGTTTGCAAAGCTCATCCAGCAAAATGCTGAACAATGTGGTTCAGATCATTTGCACTGTGTAGTCCAGGGGAAAAGAGAGGAAGGAAAGGATAAAAAATGAGAAGTCATTTGATGCAGTTTAGCCAACATGTAGATACTCCTCCCAGAATTTAACATTCAGGTATGACAGTATAAGAAATAAATAGTCTTCAAAATGAAAACTGCTTTTTATTACCAAGTAGGTCACATTTCCAACAACTGTTTCTCGATATGTAAATATAAGCAGTGACTGCTTTGAAAAATATTACAGTTACAGACTTTCAGGCTGAAAAATTCAACAAAATTCAACAATATTTTTTCCCAATGCAGTACAGTTAATTTAATCTGAAAATTAGTGATTACCATTTTGGTGTTAATTATGGAGTACTAAATACATCTTCAGTGTTAAAAGATAGACTCATCTCTATTTTATATCCCTTGTGGAACTCACTTGTGGAATTGACAATGTTGCTTTGTTATTTTAGAGGATTGGAAACAAAGGCTCAATATATTGATTAGGACTTCTGCTTTTACTTAGGCCTACATAAGGGACCTTACCCCAAGCACAGAATTTTTCACTTACATGCAAGGATATTCTGTGAGTGTCCCCTGAGAGATCCAGGTCTGGGGGGCACCTTATATCACAGTATAAGCTGTCTTTATTCTGGATACATGCAATTGCTTCTGTGCCTTTCTCTGTCTGCATGCTGCGTATATAACCCACACTTGGTAGGGAACCATGTAGGAAATAATACGTGGTCTGAGAGAGCATGAGTGGTTTCAGTAAAGCATTATAAAGAGCAGAAAGCTTGCGAGTGAATGAGTGCACCAACAATCTGAAAACAGATGAGTGTTATACAGAAAAAAACACAAGTGGATGCAACCTTTCCTTTCATGTGCAGCCCATCTCATTTCATCCTCCTGAATGGATCTGTGAAATGCAGAAATGCTGACGACCCTTTCTCCTAGGGAGAGAGAGAGAAAAGTCTTACCTCCTGCTATGTGAATCATGATACAATAATCCTGTGAAGGCATTTTTCCACATACCTCATTATAAAACATTTGGGCTCAAAAATTCACTTGAGATTGATCAGAGATGATGAGTTCAGTCTAGAAGTCTTGGATATAAACACTTACTGAAGCGCTTTGCTAAGTTCCTATTGTGAGGTATGATCATGTGGGCTGGAGAGGCCAGCCTAGGGTCTTTAGGGGGAGCTGACTTAAATGTATGGATTATCCAACATTTTCATTAGTACCACTGGGGAGATCTGAATGTGGAATAATTTGCAAATGAAGAAATGAGAGGGGGGCAAAATGCATGCCCAAGGAACATTAGTATTCAACTTCAGAGCAACCTCTGTGTGAGCATATATGCACTCATTGCAATATTCTGAAAATAATTGCATACATATGTATGTTAGTCCCACCCTCCAGTGGCATCAATAGGTTTAACCTCAGTTTTCTGTTGCACTGCAAATTAAGGGAAAAGACTTTATTTTGAGAGTGTTGAACACATGGCTGCCATCCAACAACTTCAGCATGGCAACCTCCCAAGAAAGCGCTCCAAGGCAGCCTAATCAGGACAGAATTTCTGGCAAAGTACATTTTGAGACAAGGCTCTCTCTCTTTTTTTCAAAGTAGAAAACTCCTTTGATGACAGGCACAGAGAGCATTTAAGAACATTCTCAGGTGCTTTTTTTGCAAACTGAAAAATCAAACTCAAAAAACTGAGGAGGAAAATTGCAGGAGTCATTTTAACACTTTTCCTGCTTTAGTTGGGCAGTGGAGACTGAGAAACAGCCAGCTGATTTCACTTTAGTTCTCATTTTTTTTTACTTCTGTCAATAGGTACAAGCTCGTAACTGATTACAGGTTTTAATGCTGCTCTGTAAACATGAATGGTGCTTTAAACTGTATCACAAAGCTGAGTTAAATTCTCTCCTAAAGGGCTACTCAGCTTTAGTTTTCTGCTAACACACATTCTAAAAAGCTGGTTTGGGTTTTGTATTGGGATTTTCCCTCCCTACACACAGTATGTTTTATTGCTTTTGTACTGCTCTTCCTGCTTTGCACAGTCCACTTCTGGCAAGCGGCTATACCCAGAGCTGTGGTTTGTGGCAAAAATGCGATGTGTTGGAGGAAAGATGGGAAAGACTCCATTAGCCAGCAATAATGTATCATCCTCGCTGTGCCCACAGTGCTCACAGCCTGAGAGGATGGGTGTCTTGGGCTGTGGGAGCTACAGGAGCTGGCACAGTCCTACAGGCTTTTCACTAGGAGGTAACAGAAGCGGCTCTAAGACACAACATCCTCCATCAGCTCTGTGAGATGCGGTTTCGGGAGGAAGGTGTGGCTTCAGATCTGCTGACATTGTGGAAATGCTTCACCTCCTTCTGACTTCACAGAGAGCCAAACACATTAGACCTGCCAGAAATGTGATGCTCAAAAAAGCCCAAGCCACTCTGGTCAGATGAGCAAGAGCCCTCCCAGAAAGCCCAACCTGATAAACGACACTGAGGAACTTAAAAAATAACAAGATGACATATTGATACTAAATGGTGAGTTTGGAAGACTAATATAACTTCTCATTCCCTAGACTAATAAACCTGGTGATTTTTTCCTAAAAAAATCTGAACACCTACTCTAAACAAGAGCATTTTCCTACTACTTTCAGTGCAGACAGCTAATTTTTTGCAAATGCACAAGTACATGATTAAAACATAAAAGCAGAACACACTAGTCACTCATACGTATCCATTCTTCAATTAGGAGACATAAAAAAGTAAATGAAAGTGTCAAGTATCTTACATTGATAATACTTTAATCCTTTATTTATAGCATATATAAGATACATAGGAGTGTCTGTATTTTTTTAAATAAAGAACACTTTTTTAAGACTCTTGCTATTAGATTCTTGTTCTCCTGGATATTGTGTTCAGCAAATAGAAAAATAATATTCCAAGTGAGGAATGTAATAAAACTTTATTAAAGCTATATTAAACGCATTATACTGTCATAGGTGAATCTGGATTCTTACTTTTTGTACTTCTTTTTTTTTAATAAAGTTCGGGCTGAACATGAGTGTTTTGTAACTGCCTAGAACATTCATTCTGCCATCCAATATTCCAAGGAAATAGCTTCTTTGTGTTTAAAAGATGAAAGGGCCACAGGAAAACCAAACATCACAAGAACCTGGCAGACAAAATTACCCAAGGCTGTTAAAGAAGCTACAGAAACTGCTGCTTGTAAAATTATTCCCAAAAGACAACATTACTTCTAACACCCATTGGGCTGTTAGAAGTGACACTGTCTAAAGTTCACCTTGGATAGGAAGCCGAAGTGCATGTCCAGGCCTTGAAAGACTCTGTCAGGGCTCATGCATATGAAGTATCAACAAGGTGATGCTGTGATGAGCTCGGAGGTGACTGCCCAGAGCCCTGGTGGCAGAAGATGTGCAGGAGGAACTGGAGACAACACCTGCCAGGGGTTATCAGAGCATTTCCTGGAGTTCTGTAGGAGAACAGCGGTTGAGGCAGAGGTAAATGAGCCTGGCAGGCTGGCAATTAAGGGAACAAACCAAGCAGAAGACAGGGAAATGTACAAAGAGGGAGGCAAAGCTCTGCAGGTAAGCTCATTGAGAGAAAAAGGGAGAGGAAGTGATGAGCAAAACAGGAGACAATGTCTTTCAGAAAGGGGGAAAAAACGGTCCTACTACAGCAATTTTCTAAGGCACCAGGTGCTGCTTTATCTGCAGTTTCATCTAGACACATCTCTTAGGCAACTGGGTAGTTTGGCTCATGTCCTTTCTTTCCTATGACTCCCACAGATTTTGAACCCTACTGTTACAGACTTTCAGGCTGAAAAATTCCAGTGGTTAAGTTAGAAATCTGTAGTCATTAGAATAACAGGAGATCCCTAGAGAGAGCCAACACTGCTACGCAGAAAATTTATTAGCATCAGGAACAGAAGCCTGTATCAGCACTTTACTGGTGGATAAATCAGTGGGTTTGCTAATGATGTTTCGGTTCTCTTGATTGAATTGGATTTGTAAGAGAAATGCAGCTGCAGACTGAATTGCTTTATATGACAAAAAGATAATGAATAGCCAATCCTGAACACCCACGGTTTCTGTATATATGAGATAATTTAGCTTCCGTTCTTGTTGTTATTATTTTATATGCAAATGAAATTATCAATGCCTTTATATAATAACTTCCTGGATCACATTTATTCTAGAGCTTTTGCCTGTTTGTATGCAAGAGAAATGTCTTTCCCTCATTTTAGCCAGGGTTTAATACTAAATCCAGCTCCTGCTGGAGCCTGTGGGAGTTTTATTGTGTTATAGATATGACCCATCCAGAGGACATTGAAAGTGAACAGAAAATATTGAAACTGCCTGTGGTTATGAGGGTGCTATTATTTATTTGGAGATAGGGCCCATTGCCTTATGCTATTATCTGCATGTTACGTGTACTGGGTTTTGCATATCTGATGTTTACTTAACATGCATATCAGGTTTTTAGCAATAGTGTTTCAGAGATGGTCTGGCTAAGTGCCCTCATCAGCCTCTTGCTAGGTTGTTCTCTGGGGTTCCAGCCAGTCAGTCTTTATGTGTTTGAAGTTCTAAATAGGCTACTGCTCCCACTCTGAAGGAGCATGCCAAACTGAACCAATGCCTGCTGGAAAAGTAAAAAACGGGATGCCAGCTGGCCAAGAGGGCTGAAAGGAGAGAAAAAAGAGAGAAAATCATTCTTACCGAGAAACTGCCTTAGCAACATCCTCATCTGCTGGGTGGTAATAGATCACAGTTGCCTGGTTGGTCTTCCAAATGGCTGAGCTCCCAAGTTACAGTTACTCCTTGCCCTTGGAAGTGCAGTTGACTGAGATGTACTGTTGAGACACATAGATTTGACAGATGGATTGTGCAGGCCAGGCACTGTATCCAGCAATTGTTTCTCCCATTAGGGGAAAGTCTTACAAAAGCTTTTTCCTGGTGTTCAACAGGATTGAGGTGGTTCATTGCACTGCAACTTTAGAAAGGTTTTGGGTGATTGGCTGCAGTGGAGAGAAACAAACTGGCAGTGACATAATTCCCGCCATTTGCATAACAGTGAGGAAACTTTCTTTTAGGTAGGAAAAGAGGAGAGAAAACTCTTCCCTTACCCACTGACAGGCCAGGGGCAATGCTTTCAGCATTTATGGTGCCAGAGAAATTGACCAGAAAATCTGGTCATTTCCATTAGTCCTTCTCATGTGCTCTGCTGGCAACTGAGTGTCCAGGTAACAGTTTTTGCCCTCCCTGTGCTACAGGAGTGCAGGAGCTAAGAGAGCATCATCAGGCTGCAGAACAGCGTGTGCTGGGGTGGAGACAGACAGGAAGGAGTCTTGGTGAAAAAGAACATGAGGCAGCAAGAATAGAGGTGTGCTGAAAAGAACTGAGGTAATGAGAAGCCCAGGAAACCACTCAGCTGGATTTTTGGAGATATGAAGTGTCATGGATATGGCCAGAAAAATGTGTCATAGTGCATATTAATTTAATTCCAGGTAGCTCCATGGGGGTGGCAGTGGTGGGAGAGGCAGTGTAGGTATTTTTCCTACATTCAGTATACATTCAGATGGTATTTCAGGCCTTGAAAGTGCAGCTGCTAAGCCACTCAACATTTTAAAGGTTGCTTGGCTACGAAATGTATTTTAAAAAGCCTCAAATTTTAATCCTGGAAACCAGGAAATCAAAATAACGGAAAATCAAGAAACAAAACACAATTTTTGGACACATTTTCTTTAGAATTATTACGGTAATTTTGGGCACCTTACTAGAATGAAAAAAATTTGCATTGTACTGGAGGATCTGCTGAATGTTTTTAGCATTTTAACGGTTTTACATAAATTCAGACTTTAAAAGCCTGTCATGAAGGAAGTTGAACTAGCAAAACAAAATTATTTAATTACTGACTTTTAGTAAGGTATTTAAACGTTTCCAACAATATAAGCAGTTGGTATGTTTTATTCCACTAGGACATCCTATCTTCTTGGATTGAGGTGAACAATTCTGTCATGCTGATGGGGACTACTATCACACTGCAGGCTGTGCCTGGAATGACAGTTTCCAAAAGTAACAAAAATCATTACTGCTGCTAATTATTATCAGTGTATTTACCACAAAAAAGCTTTAGCTCTAACCATGCCAGAGAAATATAATTCATTTTGTTAGACTCGAAAATGCAAGTAACACAGCTAGACTAAAAGAGCTATTGAAGGGAAGAGACAGTAAGGCAGCTTTTTCTGCTTTTAAACAAGATTTAACTGCTGGCGACAAAGTATAGGACAACCTTCTAAAGCAGGTCTGCATAGTAAAACACACTCAGGAAGGGCAAATAACTAATCTTGTTAACAAGTTCTCTATAAAACACTTTGCACTCTGGAGATACGTGTTTATGCTCTCACACTGGAGCTGTAGGTGACCTGAAGAGGGATCTGCTCAACACAAAAAGCAAAGGAGGGAAAATTTTGTCTGCTATTTTCTCTATTTTCTGTGGTGATAGAGAAGAGCAGTTCTAGAGTAAGGATTTTCTATAGCACAACACAGCTGTTCTTTCTGATGCGTCCCTGAAAGAATTCACCATCTGGCATTAATGATATCACAGCCTGTTGCCATGGGACCATCATGTCATCACACATATCCCACACTCAGCATCCTTTCAGAGCAAGATAGTACAGCTGGCACATCCAAGCCCAGCAGCCAGCAGAAAAAGGTGACAAGGACCACAGGGCCAGGATATAATGACAAAACCAGCTGCCATGAGCATGCTCAGCTTCTCTGAGGAGGTGCCTAGGAAGGACCTCAACACTAGGTCAGCTACATAAAACAGGACAGCAAACTGGCTGTGGCACTGCTGACACAACTCTGTTGCAGAGCAGTATCAATGAAAATGTCATGTTTTGTTCAACAAATATTTTTCTTGTCTCTAGTGCAGTGTGGTCTGGCATTACTGGAAATCCTAAATTCATCAACACATGTAAAAAAGGAAAATTGATAAAAAGTAGTGAATACTACTACCTTCCCATTATGCAGTCTATTATTCATTTGACTGCTATTGGTTTACAGTGCATTTCAGATTTATATTCTGCAGTCATGTAAGAATTATTCCGTTTGGAGAAACTGACATAACTTGTGTTTCAAGTGCATTGCAGCATAACTGGCTGAAGTTTTATCTCAACCTCACCACTTTTCAGGAAAGGACAGTGGAAGGGGAACCTTCAGCTATTACTCAGCCACTTCATGGAATATGCTACAATCCAGAAGCGTGGCCTTTGATGAGTTATTGCTTAAGTAAAAACATACTTCAAGCATTTATTTCTGTGAAGTCCCTGCCTTCTGTCCATATAGAAGCTATTATAGGATCATAATTCTAAAAAAGCCCAGTTTACATAATCTGTAACCACACTTATATTTTTTGCAATTTTCTGACAAAGGACAACTCAAATTTCCTGGTATTTTATTATACTTTGCAAGTGAGAAGCAGGCCTTGCAGTCTTGACAAGTAGATGTGGAGGTGACAGGAAATGGAATTTCCTAATTACTTTCTGAAATGTATGACATTATGTTGTTGATGGAGGTAGCAGAAAGCAGACATGATGACAGAGATCTTTTCCTGTCCAATGCACAGGATGGGAGTAACACAGCTCTGTGAGTATCAAAATAGCTGAAATACAATGCAGAGACTTCTTCATGCTGCCTACTTGTACAAGCCTAGACCAAAAGTTTACTGAATCTTGGGCCAAATAACAAGTAAATGGGATTACATTAAATAGCTTAGCACTAGGTGTCTTCCAACTTGACTCCTATTGACCTCAATAACAGTAAACTTTGGTGGAGCTGAGTCACCAAACAGGAGGGGTTGCTGCAACTAGAAAATGCATGAGATAGCTGAAAGCTGAACCTCAGGATGGGATTTCAATCTTCATCTTCAGTAGAAGCATGTGGAAAGATTCTAAACATTCCTATAAACAGGTAAGAAATCTGGTTATCTTCCTGTACCAACATCTGCTGGCAGCTGTCTAGAGGACATGAATAAAACACTATTTTTTACCCCTTCCCAGCTATCAGCAAGGTCCAAATTATGGACATCCAAAGACAGTGGTGCCATTTATTTTTAATAGCTCCTCATAGACTTTTGCCTCACTTCTTATTTAGTCAAGAAATTGTTGATTTTACTTAAAACAAACTCCTAAAGTTAAGGAGGACCACTTGTAACTCTATTTGTAAGAAATCCCCACCAATCCTTTCCTCTTTTCTCATTCCTTCCTCCCCACAAATATATGTGTTGGGGATGGCTGAAAACAACAGTCATAGGAATAGCAGTTATGTGTATTTTTTTTCAAAAGGCTTTGCAGGCAAAAGATCTCAATGTATTTTAGGGAACCAGCAGTGGTATTGGCATCATTAGGCTGAAAAGTATTTTCTTTTCAAAAACTATGTATATTTGCATTTATTCTGCTTACTTACCTTCATGACTGAAGAGGTAAAAATTTCTTCTGTGACTGTGTAATGAAATCCATGCACAGAGAATCTCCATAACTCCCTGCAAGCTCAAGAAAATCAAGTCTTCCTCCACTTTTGGCCAAGCAAGACCATGCCATTCCTGGCCTGTCGATATTAATAGTTGAGGCTGATGCCTGTATGACCAATTCCAAAGAACAGACAAGAGTCCAAAGAACAGACAGAGTCCAAGCAATCCCTCTGCCATGATAGCCAGGTCTCCAAGCCAACACCCAAATGGCAATGGCATGGTCTGTCACCCACCCACCCTGAGCTCCTCTGCAGGTGTCACTGTGTGCCAGCTCAGCAATTCCAGCCATGTGAGAATACAGGAAGAGGTGTGAAGCCTTGAACACCCTCTAGCTATAACTACCCTTCAGAAGCAGCTGAGACTCCTTTACAGGCTGCTATTCCACCTAGAAAAGAGCCCGTAAGAATCAGTGTCCTTTGGACTATCCATGCAGGAACACAGGAGACAACAGGTTAGACAGGGTGGACAGCTGATTGATTAGCACACAAGCATGAAAAAAAATTTTTGTCACAGCATGAATTTATTATTTATGAAGTAATACATTTTCCAGGAGCTTACACTTTTAAGAAACCAAAGGAAAAGAGTTGGGATGTTTCCTTTTGACAGGCTGTATTTCACATTTTGGGCAATAACCTTGGCTCCTCTCTAATTCTTTCAGCCAAAATGTTCAGCCCACCATGCCAAAAATCACACTTAAAATTCAAGCAGCTGAATCTGTGTCATGATTTTGTCAATTTCTACACCAAGAGCTAGACTGCTATTAGTGCAACAAGAGATGAAGATACCAATATTTACAGCATATTTCACTGAAATATGAATGAGAAGCTTTTACTAAGAGAAAGACACAAGTGACAAAATCTGTATGTGTTATATATGTGATGTTTATCCTATAAAGGCTGTTACAGAAATTTAGACTGCTTTTTATTAATGCTTTTTCCAAGTGTGAGACATTTGCAGCCAGCCATTAATGAGACCCCTGTCAAAAAGGATGAATACTTACCCATAATGCTGATTGAGAAAATGATGCTCAACAAAAGGGTTGAATCTCTTCTCTGTACACGCAGGCACACTGAGCTGTCAGCTGCTGTATGGGGAAATAATTCTAAAAGAACAAGAGCCCTTGACAACGTCACCAACGCATAGAAGTGAGCAATTTTTCTTTCAGTAGGAAACAGATCATTGCTTCATTTCTATGTTACATTTATATCCCACCAATTCTGAAAAGGTATTTTTCTCATTTCTTTTAAGAATGCTTTTAGTAAAACAGACCTATTACATTCTTCTCCTATCTTCAAAGCATCTTCAACCAATCACAAACTCTTCTCCTGAAAATAAGGCTGATTTGCATGTAACAAATGAGGAAACCAGTTTTTGAAATCAAGACTGACTGGATGACAACTTTTGACTTCAGGATATAATTCTTTCTACTGGAGCTGGGAAAAGCTCATGAGAAACAGTACCACCAGCAAGCGAAGAATTCCCTTTGGGCAGGACTATACCAACAGTTGGCATAACTGAGAGCAAATGTGCAACCTTCAGGAGAAGGAAGAATCAAGTCTGCAGTACCACAGTGGCATTCTAGTTAAGGAACATTGTATCTTTGGGCAAAAAAAGTGTGTATGGTCCCATGACTGAGGACTGCAGCATAATACATGTGTGCATGAAAGGTGAATGTTACAGATGACTGAAGTGCCATTTTTGAGTTGCTGCTGAATTTCCTCCATGATCATATGTTTTTATGTGAAATATTTATCAGAAATGTAAAATGACATGGAAGATAAAGTAAAAGAACTGCAACACATTATTTTCAAGTTCTGCTGAATTTCCAGCAAAATGGGACATCTAGGGGTAGTTGGCCAGATGTGCCATTTTGCTGGCCCATCCCCTGAAATTAGATTATTTGGCAGCAACTCTTAAGTCTGCAGTAGGGTATTTCAGGAGTTAGTACATAGTTCCTAAGGGACAATTCATCCAGTTCTCTCTCCTTCTAACCCCACAGCATATTAAACCCTCTTAATAATACTTAAAAGAACCAAAGGCAAGGTAATTTCCTTTATATATTTCTTTTTATAGATTTATTTTACATTTTATGTTAAGTAGGAAAGGAATTCAATGTTTGTCTTATATGAGGTCTCCACAAATACTTTTTGAGACCAGAATTTCTGCTTCTGCTAGCAGAACCAGTTGGATGAAGAATCAACCACAGCAAGAACTGGAATTTGTGTTGAAAAGTAAGAACAGCCCAGTCCTACCCTACCCATTCTTTCTTTTTTTTCTGAACTGAACTGCACAAGGAAAACAACACCACCACATTGGAAACATTTCAAACAGGAACAGAGAAATGTATGCATGTTAATCTGCAGGAGGGTTTCCCTCCAGTGCATACAGCAACCCTCCCATTCATTTTGCACAACACCATGCATGTGTGGTATTGCCTGACATCGCTGTGAAAGTCCTGTCAACACTCCTCATGCTTCTCCATATGTTAAAACCACTCCTGCTCTAAGTTCAATCTTCCTTAAACAATACAGCAACTAAAAGAAAGCTTTACCATCTAAGAACTGAAGTGTTCTAAGTATGGAAGTTTGTTTATAGAAAAAAATAAAAGTAAATTACAAGCTGTTAAGAAGAAAATTTATTTGATCAAAGGAAGGAAACCCAAACAGAACACTGAATTTTTGACAAAACTCACCAAAAACAAGAGTGACAACAAATGACTGTTAATAATCCTTTTCTCTCTCCTATCTCACTGAAGTTTTTCAGATTAATCACACCAGAACTAAGTCTTGGAAACTGGGGGCTTTTTTAATTTCAGTGTTCAATTTACCTTCATCTGTGAAAGAGGTGGGACTGACATGGAAATTCTGCTTTGAAAAAACAGTAACTACTATGGAAAGCAAAGATACTCCAAACTGCACTGCAGACTTGTTTTGTTGCAGCTGGCTGCCAAGTGTATTACAAACTACACATGCTACAGAGAAACTCTGGACACTCAGTCATCATGAACTGAAGTTAGAATTTTAATTGTAACCCTCCTTTTTTGCCAGGAAGGCAGCTGAGTATGTCACTATGAAACCAGCAGATGATTCCTTTGCCCTGGCATGGAAATGCTGCAATGTTACAAACTACTGCCTTCAATACACAATAATATTTATCAGCAGAGCTTCACAGAGAGTCCTTTTAAACATTTAGGGTACCATCTTCTAAGGAGCCACAGGTTTTGAGGGGCCAGTTCAGCCTCTCTTACACAAACCACAGTGTGTCTCACTTGGTGTGGGGCAAGCACAACTGGCCCAAAGTTGAGTGACAAAAGTAGAACCAAAACAGCTGGTGCAGATGGATGAGCACACACAGAGGCACATCACTGTCCAGATGGATGAGAACACATCTACTTGCTTATGTTTAGATTTTGTGCATGTCCTATGCACTTGGCCATTGGAAACCTGCACCTAAAACAGACATACCCCACAGGGTTACCGGGCTTCTCCGTGTACATTGGTCAGATATAGTCTATTGCTCTACTAAGCCTTCTTTAAAGCTTCGAGCCCATTGTTGCTTTTTATTAGAATGGCAAAAATCACTGTAGGCACTAGCTCCAAGAGCACTGTGTCCTCTTATATTTCTCTTCTGCTAAATAGATCTCTAACAGCCAAGACCATATCAGGCTTCTGCCTGATCCTCCCACCCCTTCATTAAAACATTTTTTCAATATAATGTTGCTTTAGAGTCAAACTCCTGCCAGACAAGTATAAGTCTGGAAGAAAAACTTCCTGCTTTATTATAAACCTTTGAAAAAGAATTCCAATGTCTGGGCTATGGTAACTTGATAAGTTGTATCTTGGCCAGTGGGCTCCTGATTCTCAAAAAAATCCAAGATTAGCAGACATAACACTTCAAGCTATGCTCTGTGAAACAAGATCCTAATACTACTATACTACTATGTTAAATATGTCAAATTCCTAAACAGGAAGAGCAGACAATTCATAAAGTCTTTTTCTTCCCTGCATTGCTTTAAGTTTTCCCAGTTCACTGGGAATGGATGTTGCTATGTTTCTTGTGCATGTGGTCAAGGCAAGTGGGTATCAAATGAGTGAATTTTTGACAGGTTTGGTATTACTGCCCCTCCTATTACTACTTGACAACTGTATGTGGGTTGAATGGACTGTAAACATCACTGACAGACACTGTAAAAGAAAAAAAGGCCAAAGAAATACATGCTGTCCTTGTCAGACTGTTCCTCAAAGCCCAAAACCAAACCTTGCAGTTTGTTCTTTCAGCAGCCCAACCTGAGGCACCTGACCCTGTAGCACTGTGCCACGTCAGAGCACAGTCCAGGTACTCACAGGTTAAGGGGAATAATGGGCCAGAATTTGGGCTGCTTTTTGTCACAGTTCCTATCAAAGGTAAGCTGCATGGCAGCCTCCATGGCCTGGATTTTGGCAGCTTCAGCACCGTACAGTTTCTTCATTTCTGCCATGCGCCTCTCCCCAGGTCTTTCTGTGGGTGGCTCCACAGAACGCTCCACCCTCCTGTGCAGGTCTTGATCAGCCTCCACATATGGGTCCTCAGCTTCCAGCTGCTGCTGCCTCCCTAGACAAATAAACCATAAAAAATGTAAATTACTGGGCTATCAACCAATCATGTTTTATTTTAACTTTTAAAAATATTATCTATTCATATTTTTGCCAGGTCTAAAAGGAATAAAATCCATATGTTCTACGGTGCAGTGGCATTCATTTTGCATAAAGAAATTCCTACTAAATATCATGATAGAGCCAGGCTGGAATAAATTAGGAGAAATGAAGAAGATCCTGGAATTGAATCCTAAAACTGTAGGAAACCTCTGTAACAGTACTACTAAGCAAAAATCAACATTGCTCCATTTCTCCTGAAAACACACATAGTCCTGAAAAAAACTCAAACAACAAAACAACAGAAACCCAAAACACAATGCCCCTCTCCCTCCCAAGAAAACTGAAAAAACCCAACCAAAAAATCCCAAACCACTCCCCATACCAAAAAAACCCAAATAAAAAGGAGAGCTGTTTCCAAAATAATGACTTAGCAGCTCAGAAAGGAAACAATGCACAGGACAATGCAACTTTAGTTGAATGATAGCCAAGAGAAAATGTAATCAGTTACTACTCTGTGAAAATGACCAAATGGGTCTGTCATGCCTGCCATTAAGTGCATTCAATGAAACACAGCTGTAAGCATCATGTTTAGATAAACTGTCCAAACTCAGCCATTTCTCAAGAGCAGCAAAGTTCAAAGTAAGGCTGGCAGCCTTACTCTATTGCTTTGAAAACAAACAAAACAGCACCAACACAAAGGCATGCATCAGGTCTTTTAAAGAGGATTGAAAACAATTCAAGAGGTGAAACATTTAGACCAATCAGTCAATAAAAATGCTCTGTGGTAAGCCTGACTGTAAGCAGGAACTTGGTTGTGCATGGCCAAATGTACCTCTGCTTCCTGGGTACTACTCTGATGAAAGAAACAATGCTGTGTGCAGTTAAAACATCAAAGTGCTACACAAAACTCCCCTCTTATGGGGAAATTTCTACAAGAGAGAGAAAATCACCCAGCAGCTGAACTCCTCAATAACAAATGACCATCCTAAAACTATGTAACAGGCACAATTGACCACTGCTGACAGCAGTAGGGTTTTTTTAAACACCAAAAAGGACAGTGTCCACAGGTCAGGATGCATTGGTCACACACAAGACATGCTTCTCAGTGTTTGGTGCCATGCACTTCTTCTCTCTTTCAGCCTAATGCAGAGATTTAGCTTCCACAACACACATGACATCTGCAAACCCTAACCCAAAGTTAAATATTCTGACATTTGTGTGTCAAACATCTGCAGTTTATTTTTACACTGGAAAGTACTGTACTGAGCAGCCAACTGACTGTCAGCCTTCCTAAAGGAATTAGCCCCTGAATGGCATTCACAGAAAACAGATATTTTAAACTATATGATCAGAAACTTCAATTTTGGGATCTGTTTGTCTGACAGACACAGAAAGCTTTTGTTCTGTCATTTGAAATACCATTTGTGTTGGTCACAGAAGGACTTGAGGAGTTATTAGCAATCTATTCCAGAAAGCCATTTCTGTGATTCTGCTTTAAGGGCACACCCCTGCATTAGACTGCACTGCCAGAATTCACAAGGAAATATACATTAGAGTCCATATGTGTTTTTGGAAGAGTCAGATTTATTTGGTGTTGGGCCATTTTAACCAGAAGGTCTGAATTAAAGAAACTAACATTGCATAGAGAGGGCTTAGCACTTCAAGGGCAAGGTATAGCACCCAGGCTATACCTCGCACCCCACTGAAACCAACTTCCTGGGACACCAGGCTGCCCACAACTACACAACACACTTTTAAGCACAAACTTCATGCAAATTACACTGAATAGATTTAGACAGATAAAACCAAACAAGACTATGCTGGCAAACCAGTGTCTCCCACTGTAGATTACACAGTAAAACTGGCAAGGTAATGAATTGGACCCTTATTTGTTAACTCTCTTGGGACCTTAGATAATTCCTTGTACTTCTGTATTGCCCATGGAAATTTTTAATTCTTTAGTTCCATAGCTGTATGCTAGAGACAGCTGCTTCCTCGCTTATTTGCTGTAGAATGCTGTCTGATAGCTCACTGCACACACTGATCCTTAAGAAAAAAAATTCTCTGGAGATAGATAATGAATTATTCTGTTTGGAAATTAAATGGATCTCTAGCAGAAGCCTCATGATGGATGAGTGGATTACAGTTTAGTGTGCATCAATCTCCATTTCTCAACATAGAGTAGTTCATAAATCTGTAGATCCTAATTGTAACAATCAAAATTATAATACCAATTTAAATTCTGTTCGCAGAATTACCTGATGTATGTCTGGAGTGTTTTACTTTACACTAATCAGATATCGTGCCTGTAACTTTCTAACTTTACTTCTGCTATTTCATAGCTACTGGTTAAAAAAAATCCCAGAGTGATTGTATTACAGAGTTTTAGACACATAAATCAGGTCTACAATCCAGGCAGAGGCTCAGGACAGAAATGTGCTATAGGGACCCACAGTATTTTGCACGAAAGGCTGAATTTAAGCACATAAAATGACAGCTGTTGCTGGTAATACCACAGCAGTTGTATGGAATACATTGCAGTTTCAAATCAGTTATCTGTGCAGACATAGCACTGTAACCAACTCCAGAGTAATAGACAGAAACATAGAATGGCTTGGGCTAGACAGGACCTTAAAGATCATCTTATTCAATTCCCCTGCCATAGGGAGGGACAGTGTCTACCAGATCAGTTGCTCAGAGCCCCATCCAGCCTGGCCTTGAACACTGCCAGGAATGGACATCCACAGCTTCTCTGGGCATCCTGCTCCAGTGTTTCACCACCCTCACAGTAGGCAGCATTATTTGCTTTTACAGACTATCAAGGAAAGAAGCCATGAAACTAAATGTGCATGTAAACTGCTTTTCCAAAAACAGTACTTCCAAAAACAGACATAAGGGATAGATAACTGAGAAAGTGCTGTTCTGTTGAGATGGATATTAAACTTTCTTTGGTGGGGCATGGGCTGGGAAGCAGAAATGCTGTCATTTCCAGAAGTCTGGGTTCTATCCATTACCTCAGAGTTTAGTTTAAAAACAATACAAAGCAGTACAACTTGAGCTAAATGTGCAACTACCTCTTCATCAAAAAGCTGACAACTAGAATCTGATAATGGAAATACAAACAAAATTATAAGCTGTCTATATATAACCACAAGCCTACAGAGACAACCAGAATTTCCCTGAAGCAAGTAATACATAGTCATCCACGGAGCAGATAGCATGATTTATCAAAATACTAATTCTCAGTCTGCAGCAATGAAGTCCCCACCTCACTCTCAGATCAGTTTCACATTTCAAATTCTCAAGTCCTTGGGCTGCCAAGTTACAAATATAAAACAAGTAATTTTTACACAATTCTAAGTAGTTCCTCCTTCACAGAGACTAAAATAAACATGCTTTCTTTTACTGCATTCATCTTCATCTACTGGCAAGCTTCCCCCAATCAAGGAACAGTATTTTGCAAACGTTCACAAGGCAGGCAGGCAGCTGCAGTGGTGGTTGGTTCCCGCACAAAGGAAAAGCATTGCTGACGTTTTTCCAGTTGGTCAGTTCCATTTCTTTTCAAAGGTGCTCTTTCTCTCTCTTGAAGCTCTTTTCAAAATTAACTTATTCCTACCAAGTCCAGCTCTGCTGGGAAGTCGTTGTTACCTGGCCAAAACTAGCTGGGGCATCTTTTTCCAAACACAGTAAATAGAATTCTTTAAACATGAAGAAAGAAAGTCCTGACCTGTCATGCACCTAGTGTCCTGCGTTATCCAAAAGATTACTGTATTCTGCATCTACCTATGCCCAGAATGGGAAGCGTCTCTTTAAGATGACAGATCTGGAAATGGCACCCTAGGGCCAGCAGGTGCTGGCTGTTTTGAAGTCAGGGTTGTGCAGGCAGAGCTCTCTCTTGCCCGTGGCTCTTGCTCTTTGCCTTCGTTCTTGCAGGTAGAGAGCTGAGGCAGCACCGGTGAAGGCTCCCCTCTGGTTTTCTTCTGGGTTCTTTTTTTTGAGGCAGGAAGGTGTTCAGCCATGTCCAGGAGAGCAGGGCTCCTTCACACATAAAGTGACTTCGGAAGACAAACGTCATCACTCCAGATGTCCACACCTTCCTTCTTCTTCCCCCACCCTTTATATACTGAGAATGGTGTCAGATGGTCTGGAATGTCCCTTTGTTAAATTGGGTCATCTCTCCTGGCTGTGTTTCCTCCCAGTCTTCCATACATCACCAAGGTCCTCACGAGCATGGCAGCAGGAAAAGCAGAAAAGCCTTGACTCTTTGTAAGCCCTGCTTACAAAACATTTCTATATTATCAACCCTGTGTGGAGTGTAGGTCGAAAACACAGCTTCATACCAGTCACTGTGAAGGAACTAACTCTACCCTAGCCAAAACCAGCACATCTACCTAACTCATGCTACATTCCTGGGCCATCATTAGTAATTCTAGGCCTTATGAAAGAAAGTTTCAGATTACTGTTTCTCCCTTCCCCACTTTGCCCACTTTTTATGAATGACTTTTAATCTAGTGTGTACTAGCTGAAAAGAAAGTGAACAAATACAAACAACTACCTCCATGCTCAGGAACTGCCAAAAGAGGAGACAGGAACCATTATTAGTATTAGCCATTCACTGCATTTGGGCTTTCATATGCACACAAATGACCCCTTATTTATTTTCAGCAAGACTATGACCTAAGACATAAACTATTTTGCCCCTGAGGTCCTTAGAAACTCAGATGCCTTGTTTCTCCTATTTTTTAAAAGGGAAAATGTCTCACACTTTTTCTAAGTTTGATCCACTTTATATTTCCTTCTTTGTAATATCCTTTGAGAAGCTTAAGTAGTAATGATAACAATAATAAAAAAAATCCTGTCCAGAACTTATCCTCTTCTTATTAAAAAAACCCACAAAAAACAGCAAAACAAACCAAGGAAAAGAAACAACTTCAAAACCAAAACCCAAATAAATTC